TTGCAAGGAGGGAAAAAATAAAGAAGGAAACAGGGGTAGAGAAAAAAAAGAAAGAAATTGATTGCAGTAAAAAAAAGCTGATCCTGTAAGAAAAAGCGCATTAGTAATTGCTGTAGCGACGGTGGTCCTGAAATCTCATTCTTGAATTGGGGAGGACTTTTCTGAACTCTAGCATCCTCACTAGTCAAGATGGCGAGGCAAACATTGCCCGTCGATAATGTGTTCCTTTTTCTGAGATTTTGTTTAAATATGAGATAAATTTGTGTTCTAATCGTGGAATTTTGTGAGAAATCTGTGCTCCAACGTGTAGGAAATGTGAATATTGTGTTCGTAAGGAGAAGTGTTCAGTTAAACATGAATCTACAATAGGTCTGGCAAACTGGTGAACAATTTAACTACACACACGGCGATGCCCAAGAAAAAGTTAGGAGATGCGAGAGTGTAATGACCGAAGGATCGTGACAACAGAGATGAGATGTCTTAGGAGAGCTGCTGGTGTGACAAGATGAGATAAAATGAAGAAATTAGAAGAAGACCAGGACTGAAATCAGTCACACAATTCATTAAAAAACAACAAATGAGATGGTTTGGTCACCTGACGAAAATGCCCCGGTACCAACTGCCACAGAAAGCCACGCTGAAGAAATAAATACAGAACAAGGGAAAGACCACGCAAGATATGGAGCAACATCATCATGAGCAACCTATCAGAAATGAACACTTGTGCAATGCATTGGAAATAGCGCACAAACGATCCTTACATCTCTTCCCGACACATCTCGCTGATGTAAATGATGAAAGAAAAGAAGAACAAGAAGCATCATCACTGGTTGTGTGATTCCCATGTCACCCAACAGCATGATATCAGACTTGTGGTATGGTCTGGCAGGGTGGAAACAGTAGTTAGTCTCTTCACATCTTTTTAGCAAAAGTTGTCCTTTTTTGTGTGTGCCTGCCGAGGATTTTGTTGTCCAAGGTTTTATCAGTAGATCTTCAGGCCATGAAATTTTGACCCTGCTGCGACAGTCATATCTTTTGTATACAGAAGTGGCCGTCATGGAGGTAATAGACAGATTTTTTACTTTGTGTTTGCTGGGCCTATAGTATGATATACTGTTTATGTTGCCACTTTGTCTTGTTCGGTGTCACTGGTAAAGGCTTATCGCAGCTGAGTCACAAATGTTGTGCATTTATAAAATAGATCAAGTCTTCAGGTCTCTCTCTCGCTGTCGATTTTAAACTATATGAGTGATTTTTTTCCCTATTACTTATTAATGACCTGATTATTTTTTACAATTATTTTTTAAATTAAGAATTTTGTTTGGGAAATCACCAGTTCTTGGGTTTTTCTCTAGATGCTTCCCAGGGCCAGAAGGTTAACACGATCCATTTGCATGTTGCTTGGGCGATTATTGATGTTAATTTGACAAATCTGGATTTGTGTTAATTAAAAAAATCCTAATTGATCACATATGAATGTTAGTCGGTAATGAAATCATAATCAAATATGGAAATTATGGTCACATGAATGTTAATTGTTCATATTTACATGTTAATTTATCACCTGCCCATTATTTGGTTAATTAATCATGTGTGCAGATTATCTAATTGCTTATGTATGCATAATAATTTAATTGGCCAGCTTGTTGACTTATGCACATTTAACTGTTAGTTATTGGTTGGTTAGTTACATGTGCTGGCTCTTAATTGCCGATGGGTAGAAGATGGTGAGGTCAGCCTCTACTACGATATAAGGCCCTGTGCAAGCAGGACATGAATGATACAGGTATTGAGGTAAATTTAAGGGATCAGAATGCCATGGGCAGTCTTTCTTTGGGGAAAAATGTGGGGGTGGGGGGGGGGGGAAGGGTTTGAAGGGGAACGGAGAAAAAGGAAAAGTGATTGCAGAAAGGTTGAGAGCTGTGTATCTGAGAAGAAGCTGACTAAACACAGGTGAGGACAACAACGGTCCTGAAATTTCATGTTCTAACTGTCGAAGACGTTTCGTGACGTTGGCAGGTCTTGCTAGTCATACTCACTAATGCTATGGGCTCTAATTCCCATTCCTTTTGTATAACTGTATATCGTCTGGAAAAACAGAGAGGTGCCACACACACACACACACACACACAAATGTGCCAGCTAGGTTATCTGTTGTGTGCATATTAATGGAGTTTATCTGTATATTAGTTAAGAAAGTAAATATAGCGTTGTAACTTTAACTCTGTCAGTCCCAAGGAACGCATCATGCGTTCATATGATCCTACCTAGAACCCCAGTGAACGCAAGATGTGCTGATTTTACGCCTATCTTGACTACCCCTTGGGCCTCTGATGCTAAACCACCTGGGATTGAAAGAGTTAAAGCTTAGTGAATGAATTCACAATGTGTGCATGCATGCATATGTGTGTATATATATACACAAATAACAGCACAATAGAACAATGAATGAACATACTTGAGGATCACAATATTGTTGTGAATTCATTCACTAAGCTTAAACTCTTTCAGTTCCAGGGGGTTTAGCATCAGAGGCCCAAGGGGTAGCCAAAAGAGACATAAAATCGGCACATCTTTTGTTCACTGGGGGCTTCTAGGTAGGATGCATTTCTTAGATTGAAAGAGTTAAGTTACATAGCTGCATTTACTTTCTTAACTAATATATATTTATATATACACAAAACTTTTCTGGCAATGATTGGGGAATCGTACCGGCTTGCTTTCTTAGAGTAGGTTATTGTTTAATATATATATTTGCTTGTGTTGTAAAATGGATTGCTTTTATGTGAAAAGTAGTTTCATTGATTATTTGTAGGTGTATATGTATATACAGCTCTGTAGCTGATATGTTTTGGGAATGGTTTCACAATCGAATCCTTGACGCACAAGGGTTCGATTCCCATGGTGGGCAGTTCATAAAAGACTGTTCCTCTGGCTTTTAGATAGGTGTAGGAGAATTGCACCGTGGAAGAGATTGGGCCCTCACCGCGTAATATTATTCCTAAAGAAAGAGCAGTTGATAAACCCCCTGCTAACTTCTACTGTGGGGATAGCATGGGGAAAGGTTAGTTGCGTATCCTTTACAGGACGTTGCAGAACCAACCCCAGCAGCCCCTGGCTGTTGTGTGGTTTCTGTAGGTAAATTTTCGTCCAGTAGTTTGCCATTGCTTTCCAGATGGTCGGCCCCCTGATACCACTGTCAAAACCAACGTAAGGCGCATGGCCGGCACTGGGATTGAACCCGGCGCCCCAGCATTACGAAGCGTTCACATCGACTTAGCCACAAAGCCGACAGCATGGGGAAACAGTTGTTAATTGCAAACTGGATTTTCATTTCATAACTGGATATTTGTACAGATATTATATTTCAATAATGTGGACTCAAACAATACGATGCACCATTTACTGCATGGCATATTTCGCTGTAACTCGTCAGGTGCAATACTGCAGAGTTGAATTAATGAAGTTCACAGAAGAATCCTTTTCTCTGAAATATATACATCAGATTGTAAGGTTAGACTGACTGAACGTCTCTCCGCCGGAAATTTAAGTTCCACCACATGATTACCACAATAACTTCAAATGTATCACATGATCTTTTTGTTTACATGAAACAGGAGAGTTCAGCTTTACTGATACAGCCTCCACTAGTTTTGTAGATATTATATTTGAGAGATATTTTATAGATCTTTTAAAGATGTATTGTTTACATTTAATTTTTATTTTTTAATTTTAGAATGAAATATTTTCATATATATAATTATAAAATTGTAGATTTGTTTCATTAAGCATTTGTTAATTTTAACCCTTTCATGGTAAACCGTTTATATTTCATGTAAGTAAAGAACCCTGTTTGGGCAAGTTGGGCATGTAGCTTATAATGCTAGACGCTATATTTTTATGTACCACTCAGCACTCTCTGGATGATGTCGTCATCATAGCAGCTGCCTTTAATTCCCAGGACAATACCTTTTATCCATTTTAGGTTAGCGTGACCTGGAAGGAAGTTTTAAAAAAATTTTCACATTATTGTATTCTGTATAGAGAAAAATCTGTTTTGAGTATTTTTGATGTGTTTCCATGCAATCTATTAAAAAGCCCATAGTTCACGTATGGGGGTCATGAGTCACATGGCCTCTATAAAACGGGTTCGCTGTTTGGGAAAGGTCTAGCCACTACACTTCCATGACCTTCATTTGTGATGAAATTCAGTACAGTCAAAAACACGCGCATGTTAAAACTTTTTTTTTATTAGTCTTCTTTTTTGTTGTTGTTTGTTTGTTTGCTTAATGATACTTGATAAGGTCATTTTAAATATAGATATGCCAACTCGATGGTGGCACAGCGGATGGATACTTACACGTCAGCCCAAAGGTTTTGAGTTCAAATCCACATTGGGGTGTAATTATTTTAAATGACCAGGCCAGTTCAGTCTAAAAAAAAAGTACCAAGAAAAATCCTGGGACGTAAAGACGGGCTATGGATTATGCAAACATGAGTCTAGCAGTATATACCTAATTCACCAAAGTTGTAAGAAGAGTAAAGGTCCCTTTACCACGTCTTTGGGCATATTGGGCAAATAGGGCTAGACCTATGTTTTTTAAAAGACCAATCGGCACTTGGAGATGATGTGGTTAGCATCATGCCGGCCGCCTTTACTTCCCCAGACTGCCCCTGGTACCCAGTCAGAAGACCTGGAAGTCAAGGTCATCTATAAAAAAAAAAATCAGGCGCCGCCAGGATGCAAACCCATGACCTTCCGTAGGCGGGCGTCTAGCCGCCAACACCACGGCGACTCCCTGTAAGAAGAGTAATTGACTTTATTCGCCTATAAATACTTAATGCTTGATTTGCCAGTGACATAAACAGGATCTCAAACCTAATGTTACTAAAAATCCTCTGGTCCGAATGGATTAAATCTTGTCTGTTTGTTATTCTAAATCTGTCTCTTTTGTGTGTGTTATTTTATTTGGTCTGTTTTTTTTGTTTTTTGTCCACAGAAGAGTCCTCTTGGCGCCTTCACACCAGTCGCAGCCTCATTTAGGAGTCCTGGCAGACCTGTAAGGTCTGGATCTCCCGGAAGGGTCAGGAGGTCAGACGATCTATTGGATGATTCTGTGGGCAACATAAAGAGTGCCCGGAAGAGCCTCTTTGGCAAGCCCACAAGTGTTGTCCAGCAGCAAGCAAGAAGAATCAAAGAGAAATCCGTGGCAAGTTCTGGTTTACGGTGGAAGGATCGGATCAGGACAAAATTAATTAGGTCAGATGATGAGGATGTTGATAATAAGAAGAGAACTTTGAAGTCAGGAAGGTCAGAAAGAAGAAAAAGGAAAAGACCAGATGATTTTGTGCAGGAGGGATCTGAAAGAAGAAGCATTAATAAAAGGCCGAAAAGAGAGGCAAAGAGAAGCAGAAGATCCAGTACAAGACTTCGTGAGATGTCGCGTCATGCAAAGGGAAGTAATCTGTACCGACGTACAAACACCGCAGACAAAGCAAATAGCATGAAAACAACTGACAAGGACATGAGTACCAGCTTGGCCGTGGGAGAGACTGATGAGAATCCGTCAACACACAGTGTAAAGACGGAGAGAGCTGAGAGGACTAGCTCAGGTTCAGCAACTAAGCCTCGAAAGCCGTACAAGATCCGACCTCTAGAGAGGGTTAGAACCAGAGCATACAGCCTTCTTCAAGCCTCCAAGCAAGCACTGAAGAAAGCTAGACGAGAGAATGCCGCAGTTAAACATAAAGCTGCCTCCAGCAGTCACAATCGCTCGAGTGAGGACAGCAGAAAAAGGTCTGAATTTGATTCTCGGAAGAGTCCTGTGAGGACTAGGACTGCCGCTGAGAAGCAGCAGGTCACAGCAGATAAAGCTGTCGCGCCACAGGTCACAGCAGATAAAGCCGTCACACAGCAGGTCACAGCAGATAAGGCCGTCACGAGCACAGGAGTGGATGATCCAGTCAGATCCGCATTGATCCAGCCTAGAGTGGAGATAAGTCCAGGGTCTACCTGTGTTATTTCTGACAAGATTCATGTGGCCAGGAGCAGTAAGGTTTCCAAAGATGGAGCGAGGTCAGCCACTAGAAGACCCACTCCTAAAAAGGGTAAGGTATTTTTACTGATTGTTTTGTAGTCTCCTCGACTAACCACCATGTTTCATTCTAGCTAACAGGTTGTAAGTAAGACTGGTCATAACTCGAATTTATATTTTTCGTTGCCATTTTTATTCGAACGTGTTTTAAACAATTGTAAGAAAGTAAAGCACTCTTTTCTACGCCTTCAGGCATATAGGGCTAGACCTGTATTTTATAGAGCAGTGGGTGATGTGGTCAGCATCAGGCCAGCCACCTTTACTTCCAAGGATCCACTGGTACCCATTCAAAGCTGGGTCAACCTGGGAGCCAAGGTCATTTTTGAGAAGTAAAATGTGTCCGATACTGCCAAGATCTGAACCCACGACCTTGCGATCCACAGGCGAGTGTTTATTAAAACTGCACATTAAAAAAAATTTTTCTTCAAAATTCAGTTTATGTATATTTAATAATTGTGCATAATGTAAATAAAAATAAATAATATGTAGTTAGTTCCGGGAATTTTTTGATCCTATCAATGACATCTTTCTTTCTTTACTTTAAAAAAAAAATTAATTTTTTGTGGTCGTAAGTCGAAAAGGTGTAATTTGTTTAATTATGAGATGTAATTGACTTATGGATCAGGAGGAATGCATCATAAACTTCCCAAGCATCTAGGGGATATGTTTGTATATGTCAGTTCTCCACAAATACACACGTCTCCCTCTGTCCACAAACCATGGCTGCCCGCTTTCATTGGCACGGCACATGCTGATCGTGACTGCTGGTGGAGTAGAGAAAGGTCAAACAAAGCGGGACACTACCGTACGCCAGCCACAAATATAATGTCCTTTCATAACCACTGTCATTGTCTACGAGCACTGAAATATAATACACCACACCAGTTATGATATTATATTGCAATCAGTCTCTTTATTATGGACAAATACATTGCAGTGAAGATGAGTTGGTGATTAATGCCTCACTGTCAGTCTACCACTCCTGCCAAGTACACCCACATCGGCAGTCTGCAGAACATGAACAAATCGGCCTAGTGAACTACGTACAAGGTGATTGCTATGGGTGTCTCAAGCCTGATCATGCAGAGACACCCACGAGATGTGCAGTGGCAATCCTCTGATGATTCTCCCTCTAAGAGGCTGCTCCACCCGAGGACCCAAGGTAGATGCACCACTTGCTCACAAGAATCCAGACCTCCCATCTGCTACCCTGTCACTCAATGAAGTATCACTGATCAACCTCCAGTTAACCACAGCTATCTGCATCAACAAAGGGACCACCCTTCTGCTGACCAGCTTTCTCGATACCTCTCCATCATATTTCCATGCTGGCCAGCACACACAAAGTTACCACAGCACCTTTTTTAAAACTTAAGGACACCCGGTCAACCAGCGTGCCACATAGCTGCCACTTTGTCAACCTCACACAAACCTGGGCTGACACAATTCCATTCTAGGAAATCACTCTGACAGCATTCCAAAGTACAACTGATGATCCACGTTTACTGGACAGATTACGAGCTCCACATCTTTTTAAAACTGTCACACAACCAAGTCTATAGGACTTTAATAATTCATGAACACGTCTACACACTTATACTGACTGAAAGCTGACTCGCTCAAGTACCACGTACTCCCTCCAGCTACCTGTGAATAACACATTCCCAACACAATTCGGGGTACTTGCAATCACCAGCGAATATTAGGCAACCTCGGTTTCACAATTTTAGTAACTCAAATCTATAAACACGCAACCTATCAACGCAACATGAATGACAGTGTTTACCCATGCTTCACAAAGCCCTGACTTCATTAACTTTTCACACACCCCAGTGACATTTGCATACAACAGTAAACATAAAATTAAAAAAAAAAAAGTCCAATCGAAAATGTATTTTTTAAATTAAAAACACCCACCTGACTTGACTGCCTATTGTAGGTTGATGTAAGACAAAGGGTTTAGAGCCCCAGGATGTAGAACCTTATGAACAGTGCAGTCATCACAAATGCCACAGTTTATTTGTGCCTTCTGCAGAAACAAATCTTATCACATTACTCAGGATTCGAACTTGGGTCTCCCGAGTAGAGGCTAGTGTTGTTAACTACTTGCTCAGACACACCTCTTCCATTTGAATATTTGAAACTAATTCGTAGAAAATGATGGTGGCATGGTCATGTGATCATTAGTGACCAGTGCATTAAAAAGCACGTTCCTCTTGTCCCATGATGCACCGGTTCTGTTTCTGGCCACTGAGAACATGGTTGGATTGATCCAAAGTCTATCCAAAGAAGATCAGAGAGCAGTGATTCAGTTTCTTTCATTTGAAGGTTGTTGACCGGTGGACAGTCATGGAAGAATGCAGACAGCATACAGTAATAAAATGAAACATTTCTTGTTACTGTGTATCAAAGACAAAAATGACAGGTTGGACACAAATGTTTAGGAAAGGACGTGGGTTCATGACAGATTGTCCACGGCCAGTTCAAGTGCATGTTGTTGCAATAGAAACAACCATGACCAGATTGACGCAGTAGTGCAGGGTAACCATTGTCTAAGCTTGTAATTGCTAGTGAAAGAATACAGTGTCAGTTGAGACAGCTCAAGAGGTTGTTCACAATAAACTGCAGTATCTGAAGCTGTGTTCACGGTGTTGGCCATGGGTTTTGACAGGTCACCAAAAGGAAGAATGCGGTAAACACTTTGGTCAGTAAGCAACCACAGTCCTTTTTTTTGCAGACAGCATTAGCAGCCAATGGGATGCCTACCTGAATGCTGCGACATTTTTTCCTGACTTACCCATGGTGCATAACTTCACAATGAAAGCTTTATTTAATTCTGCCATGCCTGTTGATGTTTCTTTCATGCTTTTGTAATGAAGCCACTGTACCAGGTTTCAACTGAAGTCTCCTTACATTACAAATGTACGAATGGTATTTTAGCAGATGTGGCAAGTTAAACAAAGCAGGTGGAAGGAAGCAAACATGCAGCTGGGGTTGTCATAATTATTTTCTTCAGGTGTTCAGACATGACACGACACACATCCCTCTGCTTGGAGAGGCAGTGGAGTCATTTGTGAAAAGCTTTGGTTGTGGAAGCTGTGTAAGGAATCTTCCTATTCTCAATTTTTTTTTTTTTAAATATCCCAGGGTCTTTGTCCTTTGAAAGTAATGAGATACTGAGACTTGTGAGGAGGTGCTTTGCTGGGTGGTCCACGCTTACCGCAAGCCGAGCCAAAAAGCCGCCCCATATAAGACGCTTATACGCCTGTCTTGAATTTCATATACATGTGGTTGCATAACTGGGTGTGTCCTATTCTGAGGAGAAGGATAATGATTTGTTCTGATCTGTCCATGATAGAGTAGTCATTCTGTGCTGGGGCTGGTGGTTTCCTCAACGACTTAATGATATGATTCTTTTGTGTGTGTGTGTGGTATGTAACTGCTACATCTTGCTGTTATTTTGTCATACCTTCCCCTGCTAAGTGATGAGCTCTCTGGTTGGGAGAAATGTTTTGGAAATATGAACGAGGCAAAGCCTGAGTTTGGTCAGTTGCATACCAGAAGTCGAAGAAGACAGTTGTCTTATTTGAAGATGTTGTTTCAGTGTCAAGTAAATGACTAGTGTTATAATATTGTGGAAGCGAACAGTGATGACTGTGTCTGAATAATTGTCGGAGTATTGGTGGAAGAATCAGACGGAATAAAACTAACAGAATGTATGCAGGAAACAGATCCGTTTTGTGTGGTGAATCCTAGATAGTAGATTCAGTAAAAGTAGCCACGTACAAGCGTCAAAGTAGATGTGTTATGTAGCTCTGTTACACGGGATCCAGCTTCGTTGCATGACTGATTGTGTTTGTTTTGTAACAAAATGAGGTTTTGCATAGATGATGTCACCCCCATGCGATCTGCGCCCCCCACCTCCCCCACCCCTAGCTGAAGGATCGGACATGTCTCTTTTTTGTTTTCTACTCTTTCTGATTATAATTACGTTTCTGTGTTGCCCATCTAAAAACCTGAGTGCTGGTGCGGAGTTTTGAGCTGTAGAATGCTTTTTGACTGTGCCCAAGATGTTTTTGTTTGTAACTGCAGATTCAGTGACCTATTGCCACAAAACTGTTACCTTATGCAAAACTGCCTGTGCAACTGCTAATTTACTGTAACATCTGTTTCCATTGATGAACTGCAGTTCCACTGGTGGACTGTTGGTACTGGCACTTCTGGTGGGTGCCTTAAATTTAATGCATGTGTATGCTGTTGCCTTTGCTGTGACTGCAGTCTGTTTCAATTTGTTTGGACAAGGGACAGCGATGGGTGTTCTATCTAATTTTCCATAACACCTGAATGAAACCCGTTTACAGGTTTTAATGATTTAAAATATTTTTGTTTGTTTCAACAGCTAAAGTTCAGACAAGTCCTTCCGGAGTGCCTTCCTCACAAACTGCAGCAGAAGAGAACAGTATCCCCACATTCCATCCCACAGAGGCGGAGTTTTCAGACCCAATTACATACATTAGTCAAATCCAGCCCTTGGCCGGGTCTTATGGGATGTGTCGAATAATTCCACCACCAAGTTGGAAGGTGAGTGATGGGGTCGCATGAAGTAATACTGTTTGGTTGGCTTGGCTGGCTGGTTTAAATGGGGACTACATCAAGCCAATTTTTCCCCAGAGTTGTGTTGGTGTGTTGGGAAATGAATAAGCAGATAGACTGGCTGGTTCATCACTACTTGGTGGTGAATTAATACATGACAAGCTAGATGCATGTAATGGTGGTCCTTTGGGACTGAGTAAACAGTGCAGAGGCACAAATAGATCATTACAGTATGACCAGACAATCTGCCCGATGCTCAACACTCAAGGGAAAGGTGAGATGGATATAAAATCAGACTGTTGCTGATATCATCTAAATTGGAGCTCTTCGCTTGCTGCTGAAGATGGGGATGGTACGCCTGTGTGAATGTCCTGGGTGCTGTGGTGCTGATTGTTAATTCAACATTTGACATTGATGACAAGAATTGTTAAATACTGTGAAAATTGTGACTAGAAAGCTCAACGGAGGGAATAAAAAAGATGGCTAAATGACAACAGTTGATAAAGACTTTGGTTGAAGCATTCAGTAGTATTTGTGTGCATGTTTTCCATTGCCTCTGTTGAGCTTTTTAGTCACATGTTATTTGTATGTAGCTCTCTTCCTGGCTGGTGGTCAACTTACTGGTTGATAAGATTGTTGTCCGACGACGAGCTGAATGGCTGGCGGTCAACTTACTGGTTGATAAGATTGTTGTCCGACGACGAGCTGAATGGCTGGCGGTCAACTTACTGGTTGATAAGATTGTTGTCCGATGACGAGCTGAATGGCTGGTGGTCAACTTACTGGTTGATAAGATTGTTGTCCGACGACGAGCTGAATGTTGTCCGACGACGAGCTGAATGGCTGGTGGTCAACTTACTGGTTGATAAGATTGTTGTCCGACGACGAGCTGAATGGCTGGTGGTCAACTTACTGGTTGATGAAAGATTGTTGTCCAACGACGAGCTGAATGGCTGGTGGTCGACGATGACTTACTGGTTGATAAGAGTGTTTTGTTGTGAGGGTAACGAGGGGAGGGGGGGGGGGAGCACAATCAGAACAAGTCATCAACCTTTACCTCAGCACAGGGCACAGCCACTTATGCAACCACATGTAAATGAAATTCAAGATAGGTGTATAAGCCCCTGCACATGTGGAAGGTTGCCCCAGACAACAGAAAAGATACCCGAGGACTGCACCAAATATGAGGCATTAAGGCAAAACCTTTTGGCCAGAAAGAACAACAGTAAAAACATCAATTCTATGGACCACTGAATGAACTGAAAACTACAGTGAAATTTATGCAAGAGACAAAAATTGCTGATATAGACAACTTAATTCAGGCGAACGGAAGAAGAAAAAGAACTCCTAACTTCTGAAACAGTAGTTGCTTACAGTTATCATGTATAGGTCTAAAATGGTTCAAACAATAACAGAATGGGATGAAAGGAACTGAAGCAACAGTTGGGATAGCATGGGTTAAAGCTACAGCTGGATGGGTTCAAAGTGCTCAGAAAGACATAGCTTGCTCAGTAACTTCAATAAACACTGGGTGAGTTGCTTGCCACGTAAAGAGTTAATAAGCCATGACATAATGGTATGACCTGACATCTACTTCTTCTTCACCTTCACCTGCTGTAAACTCCGACGGAAAGTTCTATGTATTCGTCCATCTGTTTCACATACCTGGTCTATTTATATGCAGACTCTTGGTTCTTTGCCTTTCAGGCAGATGTACTCCTATTCCCTCGACATGCTTGTTAGGGAGGCAATGGGTTTGTTCTGGTTTTCCTCACAATGAGGCCCCAAAACCCGCATAGGGTGGCCTAACATAACATGATATCAGACTGGAACCATACAAGTATATTTGTTCTTCCTTCCTGCAGTTGGACAGCAACAAGATCAGTGATGACATCCGCTTCACGCCTCAGGTGCAGCATGTCCACAGACTGTATCAGAGGTCAGTACAGGTCATATGTTGGATTATATGTAGGACTGTATATAGGACTATATGTAGGGCAGTAGAGGTACTTCATGTCTTCTTTGCCTTTCGTCCTCTTTACTTTCTGAGTGCAAGCTGTATAAAAGGTCAGTACAGGTCATATGTTGAACTGTCTGTTGGACTATATGTTGGACTGTATGTTGAACTGTATGTTGGACTGTATGTTGAGCTGTATGTTGGACTATATGTTGAACTGTATGTTGGACTGTATGTTGAGCTGTATGTTGGACTATATGTTGGACTGTATGTTGAACTGTATGTTGGACTGTATGTTGAGCTGTATGTTGGACTATATGTTGGACTGTATGTTGAACTGTATGTTGGGCTGTATGTTGAGCTGTATGTTGGACTATATGTTGAACTGTATGTTGGACTATATGTTGGACTGTATGTTGAACTGTATATTGGACTATATGTTGAACTATATGTTGAACTGTATGTTGGACTATATGTTGGACTATATGTTGGACTGTATGTTGAACTATATGGTGGACTATATGTTGGACTATATGTTGGACTGTAAATTGGACTATATGTTGAACTTTATGTTGAACTGTATGTTAGACTATATGTCTAGAAAGTATTCTCATACAGAGATCGACTCAGGTGCTAACAAATTTGTTAATCTGTGTTACCTTATTGAAACTTGTACCTGCCATTCACGCCTGCATCTGGTTACTGATACACAGCAAACAGTTTTTCACAACTTCAGTCACCTGCAGGCTTCCATCGTCTGCTCTGACACTTCTCTCCACTTGTGCGCCAGATATTCGCTCTCGCTGTCAACTGTCCCGGGGCACTTAAACAATCATTGAGTCCAACCATCCGCTTCCTCTCACTGTCTGACACCGAATGCCCCTTCCTTCTATCCTACATTCAATTGTCCCCTTTCTGCTCATGAGATTCTCAACAGTGATTCAATTATTCCCCTGGACTCACATTCCCCCACGCTTTTCCCCTGACTCTTTCTCAGTTGGCCTACATACTCTTGATGACCCGTCCCATTGGGAAACCATTTCTGACATGGATTTCCTATCCATTACATCTTCCCCCACCCATAATAATAAAAAAAAAGTTTTCCCTTGTTACTTATGTCCTCATTGTTTTTTCTCTTCTCTAGCCCCAGATATCTGTGGTAGTACAGAGGTCAGTTGGCACCTCTGACTACCCAGATGATAGTGTTATATTTGTGTTGTAGGGAGGTATTGGAATAACACCCACGGTGATGGCAAGTCTGACTGCTGTCCAAATGGTTAAGAACGCTGGCAGCCTTTCATGCAGGAAACCCAGGTGTCAATCCTCAGGAAGGTTATGGAGTTTTTCTGTGAGACGCACAAATATAACTCTAACCTGCACAGTGTGTGGCGACTACACTGGCCATGCGTTCCTTAATCTTTACACAAAGACTTTCCTTCTACACCACAAAAGTAGTAATTCAATGGGGTGTGAGTGGAGGGTGATGGAATATATTTCACATTGCGGGGGAAACAGGCGGATCTTTAATCAGGTTGCAGCTAGTACTGTTAGCATGCCAACTCTTTGTGGGCTACTGTGGAAGGGGACGGAGCACATGTGGGAATGTCCAGAGTGCAGTGATGTCAGATCTTGATTGATTGATTGATTCATTCATTCTTTTGCTTATTCATTCATTCACCACAAAAGCAAGCATCAATTTAAAGGTCCTGGATAGTTAGCATCCTTTGGATATTATCTCCAGGTCATGCCGGTGTGTTGGGAAGTGAGCAGGCAGATAGACTGGCTGGTTCTGCACCACTTGGGGGTGAACTGATGTATGACAAGCTGGATGTTGTGAGGGCCCTTTGGGAGTCAGTGAACAGTGCTGAGGCGCATTGCGGTCTGAGAAGAATGGCACTGCGAAGAGTTACAAAGGGATCTGGCCGACGCTCAACACTCAGGGGAAAGGCGAGACGGATATACAATCAGACAGTTACTGGTACCATCTGAATTTTAACTCTTTGCTTGCTGCTGAAGATTGCGACGGAGCTCCTATGGAGGTGTCCCGAGTGCTGTGATGTTGATTCTTAATTCAACATTCACCACAAAAGTCATAAATATAGGTGGTAATAGAATTCTTTTTGTTTGAAGATTGCGATAGAACCATCATCTGCACCTGTGTTCTTGAAAGAAAGGGTGATTAACTGTCTCTGTTCACAGGTGGGGTCCAAATGTCCAGCACAGTGCAGCCATCAACCATCATTTGCTGTCTGAGATGTCAAATGTCACTACAACGCCCCAGGTAAGTGAAGCAGGTTGCTCTCTTGTGACTCCGTGTTTCCTGAGAGCCGCTGTGGTGTAGTGGCTGGCCGCTCGCTCGCGGGTCTGAAGGCCATGGGTTCTTCAAGTCCTGATGGATCTGGACTTTCTTAATAAATGACCTTGGCTGCCAAGTCAACCCAGCATTAAATGGGTACCTGGTAAAGTCCTGGGAAGTAAAGGCAGCTGCCGTGATATTGACCACATCACTTGCCTATTGAGCTGTAAAATATGTCTTGCCCTCTATGCCCAGTACACCTGAAGGCGGGACAAGGGTCCTTTACTGTTACTTTTTACTTTACATCTTTCATTATTTTTCCCCCCTTATTTTTGATTTTCCCTGTAGGGATTCCGAGGCCAGATTTTGGGATGAGCAAATAGACACACAACCCCTTAGCCAGCGTGTCTTAAAAAGGGGACTCATTAGGGACTTCCTGAAATCACATGCATTGGACCAAAAGGCCCAGATTTCACAGAAGGCAAATACTGAAGCAGAATGTTTTCCTTGATTCCTATCCCTAATTTGTTTCCAGGATTCTAATCTCTGATTTGTATCTCTGTGAATCATGTTTTTTCAGATCCCTGTTTTGTATTTGTAAATCATGTTTTTTTTTCTCACAGTCCCTGATTGTGTGTTCAAGATTCATCTATGTTTTTGTGTGTATCTAAGACTCCTTTCCGTGATTTGTGCGTCATAATTCATATTCATGATTTGTGAGTCATAATTCATATTCATGATTTGTGAGTCATAATTCATATTCATGATTTGTGTATCCAAGATGCATATCCTTTTATTGTGACTCCATGAGTATATACCCTTTTATTTTGTAACAATGATTCATATCCTAGATTTTTGACTCCATCAGTCATAATCTTTTATTTTGTAACAATGATTCATATCCTAGATTTGTGACTCCTGGAATGACTCCTCTACTGACTGTTCCCACAAGAGTGTTGGTTTTAAATCTTATCTTGACCTCGATGACCATTATAGATTGCTTCACTAAGCTTTATTTCAGGATCATGTAGTCAGTCAGAGTTGTATCATTAGCCGTAGTCAGTCAGAGTTGTATCATTAGCCGTAGTCAGTCAGAGTTGTATCATTAGCCGTAGTCAGTCAAAGTTGTATCATTAGCCGTAGTCAGTCAGAGTTGTATCATTAGCCGTAGTCAGTCAGAGTTGTATCATTAGCCATAGTCAGTCAGAGTTGTATCATTAGCCGTAGTCAGCCAGAGTTGTATCATTAGCCGTAGTCAGTCAGAGCTGTATCATTAGCCGTAGTCAGTCAGAGTTGTATCATTAGCCGTAGTCAGTCAGAGTTGTATCATTAGCCGTAGTCAGTCAGAGTTGTATCATTAGCCGTAGTCAGTCAGAGTTGTATCATTAGCTGTAGTCAGTCAGAGTTGTATCATTAGCCGTAGTCAGTCAGAGTTGTATCATTAGCCGTAGTCAGTCAGAGTTGTATCATTAGCCGTAGTCAGTCAGAGCTGTATCATTAGCTGTAGTCAGTCAGAGTTGTATCATTAGCCGTAGTCAGCCAGAGTTGTATCATTAGCCATAGTCAGTCAGAGTTGTATCATTAGCCGTAGTCAGTCAGAGTTGTATCATTAGCCGCCAGTGTTGATTATATCAGCTTTATCCTTGCCTCTCTCCTCTTGAATTTGTACCTTACCTGCTGTCAGACACCTTTTATAGGTGTGACACAAGTACAATTGTTATTTGTGCCAGGTGTACCCACACTTCCATGAACATGTAAATACCGATGACCTTGTTCCAGTTCTTAAATAACGTTTATTTAAGAACTCATGATAATTGCAAAGTTAGTATGGCTTCCACACAACGTTATCGACTACTGAGTAGCCGCAGATTTTATTCTTATGGTTCACAAGCACACTAATCCCAAGTGGTCACTGGCTAAATACATCAACAGTACGCTGGTATAGCTGATCACAAACTCATCCTCGCAATATGAACAAAGTCATGAGAGGCTAGAGGATGCTTCTATAGCAATAATTACGTATCCTCCTGGCTACCACACTTAACTTTATAATCCGGCTATACAACAGAAACACTTGTCACCAGTATGAATAACCACTACTGTTCTGTTCACAGTTTTAAATCCAGTCCATTCCAAGCGAAAAACAATTCCCACCTTTTAAAAGGGCACCAAACAAACACATCCGTTCACTGGACTGTCCAACTACTAACTGTCGTGTGTCGCTCTACCTGTGTGTCCAGTCCCCGTGTAACCTCCCCACTCAGTTACCTGTTTTGCCGTGCGGGTCTACACACAACCCGTCTGACCAGTAATTGACTGTCTGCTGTTATGAGTCAGTCTAGTCGTTGTTTGTCTTTCTCTCACAGTGTGTGGTCAAGTTGACTCATGACACCTGCCATTTGGTCCACTTGTTAATTGCTCTTTACACTGGCACCATTTGTTTTTCTTTAGATTGGTGGAATAGAGATTGACCTGCACCAGCTGTACCAACTAGTGGAAGAAGCAGGCGGGCCCAAAAAGATGAATGATAAAAAGCACTGGGCCCGTATCGCTGACATTATGAACATCCCAAAACAGGTGGGCAGCTTCATGCATTTTTTCACTTTTAAATGTTCTGTCAATTTATGTTTTCATTTGTCAAACAAAACATAGTTTTGTCTTCAGTGTCTTACCAAAGAATTTTTTGTTTTGACTTTGATGTTTTAGCAACAAGGTTTTTTTCTTTCTTACTTCAATGTTCTATCAACACATGTTTTTAACTTTGATGTTCTGCTCTATCAACACATGTTTTTGACTGTAATGTCCCATAAGGCAACTCGTTATATTTTTATTAGCTACTTTTATAACAGCGAAACCTCATTGACATGAATTCTAAGGCACCGAAAAAATAAAGAAGTTGTGTTAAACATTTGTTTTGCCAGCCAGGGACGAATAATACTTCTTCCCTGCTTGGGCCGAGGTTTATGTTCATGTTAGGCAAGTGTTTTTCTTAAGAAGGTTTATGTTAACAATGTTTTACTATATAACTGATGGTTTGGCCCCACCCCATGTGTAAGGGTGGGGGGGGGGGGGGGGGGGTTGAGGTTGAAGCTCACCTGCAGATCAGAAAGTCGTGGGTTCAGGTCCTGGCGGAACTGAGCTTTCTTCAAAAATGACCTTGGCTGCCAGGTTGACCCAGCCTTGGGTGGGTACCAGGTGCAGTCCTGGGAAGTAAAGGTGGCCGGCATGATGTTGACCACATCACCCACCAAGTGGCGATTGGTAATGGTAAATAAAGTGCAGGTCTAGCCCTATATGCCCAATACGCCTGAAGGCGTGGAAAAGGGCCCTCTACTTACTTTACTTTAAAGTGTTATGAGTTGAACTTTACGCCAAGATTTGATCTCATACGTCAACTTGGGTGTCCATATTTCCCAGGCTATGGACAGAACTATGCGGCTGTACGACATCTACTGCCGGCACGTGTTCCCCTACGCTACTCTGTCGGCTGAAGAGAGGAAGCACCTGGAGGATGAAGTTAAAGCCATCCATGATTTGCAGACGGTAGAGGACGACGCTGTCATCCGGGTAAAGTCTATGAGTCATTAGTTACAGTAGCTGTTTGTGTGGTCATCAAAGTTCTGCACCTGCGGGCTGCTCCCTGCAGATCTCCAGAGGGTGCAGTCCCTAATGAGTGGAAAGCTCAACATACGATTGTGAGGTTAAGTAGTCATGTGCAGGACGTGACGATTCCTTGGGTGAACCCAGGACCAGAGTGTCTTGTGTCATGTGCAGGACGTGACGATTCCTTGGGTGAACCCAGGACCACAGTGTCTTGTGTCATGTGCAGGATGTGACGATTCCTTGGGGGAACCCAGGACCAGAGTGTCTTGTGTCATGTGCAGGACGTGACGATTCCTTGGGTGAACCCAGGACCAGAGTGTCTTGTGTCATGTGCAGGACGTGACGATTCCTTGGGTGAACCCAGGACCACAGTGTCTTGTGTCATGTGCAGGATGTGACGATTCCTTGGGGGAACCCAGGACCAGTGTCTTGTGTCATGTGCAGGATGTGACGATTCCTTGGGTGAACCCAGGACCAGAGTGTGTTTGGTGTCATGTGCAGGATGTGACGATTCCTTGGGTGAACCCAGGACCAGAGTGTCTTGTGTCATGTGCAGGATGTGACGATTCCTTGGGTGAACCCAGGACCACAGTGTTTTGTGTCATGTGCAGGATGTGACGATTCCTTGGGTGAACCCAGGACCAGAGTGTGTTTTGTGTCATGTGCAGGATGTGACGATTCCTTGGGTGAACCCAGGACCAGAGTGTCTTGTGTCATGTGCAGGATGTGACGATTCCTTGGGTGAACCCAGGACCACAGTGTTTTGTGTCATGTGCAGGATGTGATGATTCCTTGGGTGAACCCAGGACCACAGTGTTTTGTGTCATGTGCAGGATGTGACGATTCCTTGGGTGAACCCAGGACCAGAGGGTTTTGTGTCATGTGCAGGACGTGACGATTCCTTGGGTGAACCCAGGACCACAGTGTTTTATGTCATGTGCAGGACGTGACGATTCCTTGGGTGAACCCAGGACCAGAGTGTTTTGTGTCATGTGCAGGATGTGACGATTCCTTGGGTAAACCCAGGACCAGAGTGTGTTTTGTGTCATGTGCAGGATGTGACGATTCCTTGGGTGAACCCAGGACCACAGTGTGTTTTGTGTCAGCTCTGCATTTATGGAAGCCTCCTTGGATTGCTTAAGATGGGGACGGAGCGCTTATGGCAATGTCCCGAGTGCTTTGATGTTGATTCGTAATTCAACATTCAACTCTTTCACTTCGAAGGAACACATCATACGTTTATAGGTTCCTACCTAGAAGCCCAATGAACCCCAGATGTGTTGATTGTAGTCTCCCTTTACTACCCCGTGGGCCTCTGAAACTAAACCCCCGGGGACTTAAATAGTAATCAAACCAACAAAAAACAAGTCTAGATTTTGGCATTAATGGGGTGAGAGGGTTAACCTGTCTGCAGCACTTTTATATCCCTTCTCCCTTCTCTGTTTTCCTCCTCCATACAACGCGATCCATTGCACCCTGTTTCTGTCAATCCATCCAACCATTTATGGAGAAAAAATCATCGACCACTGTCAACCTACTATGGGCAGTATCAGTTATAATTGTGGTCTAGTTTTTTTTGGCCAGTTATGCAGACTAAAAATGTTAATTGCACCAAAACTAGTGGCTTGGACCGGTACTCTAGTACCAAGTGAGAGTTGTTGGGGAGGGGGCTGGTATACACTATACACACCCACACACATATACAGACCTACGCCTACAATTACACACATATACATAACACACACATCTGCACGCCCACCTGTGAATCCAGCTCAGTACCCACCACCTCAATACCCATAATCCAATATTTTATCCTCCATCCATTTTATTGTGAAAAAATACTTGATTTTAGCATCTTTTTTTTTTAAACGCCAGGGCAAGTCCATGCCAGTGAGTTGGTTTAACCGAATTGCACGGAATGTCCAGGCCATGTGGTTCAAGGAGGACGCCACCCCGTCTCAGATTGAGGTAACCTTGCTTTGTCCTTGAAATATCAGGTGTCCCATAAGTTTCTGTATGTAAAATGAAAAAACAAAGCATATCACTAACACCAATACAGGCATAGCTCCAGCTATTCTTCAACTGTGGTGCATACGCATCAAAACGTTTTTCTTAGGGAAAATAAACATGTTTTAAAAGTGCCAAGCATGTTTATTCATACAATATGCTTTACTTTACTTGTCACCACGTAGCAGGTCCTTTGCAGAATGTCGCGGTCATCAAGGTCTGCCTGAAAGAATCTCGGTCTCTCAACAGTTCTCTCACCTTGTGTATATTCTCCCTCCTTGTGTATATTCTCCCACCTTGTGTATATTCTCCCACCTTGTGTATTTTCATATTCAAGGCGTGACTTATATCCTGTGCTCATCTTCGTGTTGGTCGTCCCCTGCCCCTCCTTCTTTGTACCATGTCTTCTGCTAGTTTTTTCCCCCAATCTGCCATGGCGCTTGATATGACCAAAATATTTCAGCTTCTGAGACAAGATGCTGTTTATTAGCCAGTCTTCCTCCTTTACCGTACTATCACATTGTCTGAAAACATATTTTCAGTGTGTGTCCTCCATTGCTGAAGAACATGTACAAGCACAGCTGGAGTTAGGCTTGTGATGGGGGTATGTTTATTTGTCCTATTTATGGACACTTATCCAACAGCTTGCAGCAACCACGAGGTATTGACTGATTACCTTGTGGCCAGGAAGGGAGAAGTTCTTCCACCCAAAATAACTTCATGTCTTATAATTACATTCAGGCAGAAAAATATTGAAACACACGTGAGAGAGAGTGAGAGAGAGAGAGAGAGAGACACACACACACACACACACACACACACACACACGCACCTTCCCATAATTATCTATTTGTGCCTCCGCACTGTTCACTCATTCCCAAAAGGCCCTCACAACATCTAGTTTGTCATACATCAGTTGACCTCCAAGTGGTGCAGAACTGGTCATCTACTGCCCACTCGTTCACCAACACACCAGTGTGACCACCAAGTGGTGCAGATCTGGTCATCTACTGCCCGCTCATTTCCCAACACATCAGTTGACCACCAAGTGGTGCAGATCTGGTTATCTACTGCCCGCTCGTTCCCCAACACATCAGTGTGACCTGGACAAAATATCCAAAGGGTGCTGAATGCCCGGGACTTCAAATTGATGATTGCCACTTTGCACATAGCATGCCTGTCTCCACTTTTTCAACATGTTCTGTGATTTACCATTACAACATGTGTGTGCAGCTTATTCTGAAGACAGCGGTAGGCAGCAGTGACTGCCTCTACCTCCATTCTAAAACTAGACGTTGTGAAATCATATGCCAGGCTTTGCTGCACTAAGCGACATCCATTCGCTTTTGCTATGAACCCCTGGGCACTTCATCTTCCCCCTTAGCAAAGAGCCATCTGTATAGGTAATCACATCACTTGGGCGGGAATTGTCATCAATCATTTGTTGAACTTCAGATTCTGCAGCACCAATTGGCCAGTCGCTGCACTCACAACTTAAAGGGATAATAACCCTACACGTCTGATTATTGCTTAGATACATTGACCCACTCTTCTCCTGGCCCAAATTGATCAAGCCTGCACACATGTTTAATTGTGTCTTCAGCTTGCACCATCCAAGACCTTCCTCTGTTCAGTCTGCGACCCTTAGTTTTACCTAGGGTTTCGCACATTAGGTGCTTCTTATCTGCAGCTACTCTGAGATATGACTTTGCTTACAGAACTTTCAGCCTATCTGCAATAGTAGGCAGAGCAAGTATATATTGCATATATACTACCAGGGTATCTCTTGTACATCCCAGAATTATGCACCTTCATCATCTTTTGCCATGCCCATAAGCTTGGAGAGTATACTACCGGAAGTGCCAGTTTGGGTCTTCTCGGGGTGAAAGAGTTAAAGTACCAGCTAGCTAGGAGAATAAGAGTTACACATGTTATCTAGTTCCGCTATTTTGAATGGCCCTCAATGCCATTGGTTTTAATCTCAGTATCTCTGTCCACTTCTCTCCCCTTTATCTGTTGCTACGGTCTGTGAACATAAATATCCTTCTATGCACAGTTTATGTTTATCATTTCATTTTTACACAATTAAAGTTCATCTGCCCCTCTCCATCCCTCTCTTCTCCTGCCACCTGTCTCTTGTCTTTGTTCATGTTTTTCTCTATATGTTTCTTCATCTGTCTCTCTCCCATGTTTTCTTCTCATCTCCCTCCATCTGTATTTTATCCAACCCTCCTCCTCTTTTGTTTCACATTCTCCCTTGCTCCTCTATCCTTGTTTCCTTCAAAATTATCTCTTTTTTCCTCTCTCGCTTTCTCCCTCAACTCTGACACATTGCTGTGCAGCGTTTCACTGTGTTTGGTTATCCTCACCAGAGCCGATACTGGCCGGTCATTGAGGACAAAACCAAGCATGTGGTGGTCCACTGCGGTCACATAAACACACGGACCCAAGCCAGTGCCTTCCCCACCCGCAGAGACAGTGCCTACACACGGTAAGTGGCTGTTCACTTGTGTGTGTTGTCAACACTGTTGTCAACAGTGTGAAAGGTAATGAATGTGTGGTGGTCATTATAAAGGGTAGAGGATGTGTGGTGGTAATTGTGAAAGGTGAAGGATGTTTGATGGTCATTGTGAAAGATACGTGGTCAGAATAGTAAAAGTTGAAAGATGTGCAATGGTCATTGTGAAAGGTAATTTGGGGGGGGGGGGGGGGGGTGGTGATGCGAGAAAGAGAGAGAGGGGGGGAGAATTTTGATGGATGAAAGGTGTATTATTGCCATTGGGAAAGATAAAGGATGTGTGATTGCCATTGTAAAAGATAAAGGATGTGTGATTGCTATTGTAAAAGGTTAAGGATGTGTGATTGCCATTGTAAAAGATAAAGGATGTATGATTGCCATTGTAAAAGATGAAGGATGTGTGATTGCCATTGTAAAAGATAAAGGATGTGTGATTGCTATTGTAAAAGGTAAAGGATGTGTGATTGCCATTGTAAAAGATAAAGGATGTGTGATTGCCATTGTAAAAGGTAAAGGATGTGTGATAGCCATTGTAAAAGGTAAAGGATGTGTGGTTGCCATTGTAAAAGATAAAGGATGTGTGATTGCCATTGTAAAAGATAAAGGATGTGTGATTGCCATTGTAAAAGATAAAGGATGTGTGCTTGCCATTGTAAAAGGTTAAGGATGTGTGATTGCCATTGTAAAAGATAAAGGATGTGTGAATGCCATTGTAAAAGATGAGGGATGTGTGATTGCCATTGTAAAAGATAAAGGATGTGTGATTGCCATTGTAAAAGATAAAGGATGTGTGATTGCCATTGTAAAAGATAGAGGATGTGTGATTGCCATTGTTAAAGGTAAAGGATGTGTGATTGCCATTGTGAAAGGTTAAAACTGTGTGATTGCCACTAAAAATGGTTAAGGATGTGTGATTGCCACAGTAAAAGATAAAGGATGTGTGATTGCCACTGTAAAAGGTAAAGGATGTGTGATTGCCATTGTAAAGGGTAAAGGATGTGTGATTGCCACTGTAAAAGGTTAAGGATATGTGATTGCCATTGTAATATGTTAAGGATGTGTGATTGCCACAGTAAAAGATAAAGGATGTGTGATTGCCATTGTAAAAGGTAAAGGATGTGTGATTGCCATTGTAAAAGATAAAGGATGTGTGATTGCCATTGTAAAAGATAAAGGATGTGTGATTGCCATTGTAAAAGGTTAAGGATGTGTAATTGCCATTGTAAAAAATAAAGGATGTGTGAATGCTATTGCAAAAGATGAGGGATGTGTGATTGCTATTGTAAAAGATAAGGGATGTGTGATTGCCATTGTAAAAGGTAAAGGATGTGTGATTGCCATTGTAAAAGGTAAAGGATGTGTGATTGCCATTGTGAAAGGTTAAAAATGTGTGATTGCCACTAAAAATGGTTAAGGATGTGTGATTGCCACAGTAAAAGATAAAGGATGTGTGATTGCCACTGTAAAAGATAAAGGATGTGTGATTGCCATTGTAAAAGATAAAGGATGTGTGATTGCCATTGTAAAAGATAAAGGATGTGTGCTTGCCATTGTAAAAGGTAAAGGATGTGTGATTGCCACTGTGGAAGGTAAAGGATCTATGATTGCCTTCTGTCTCGTGTACTTGCATGTACTAGTAGCACTAGTTGGTGGTAAAATAACTGCGTGGCTGTTTGCCATTTCTTGCCACTTGTACAGTGGCGTGAGACAGCCTGTTGTCGTGGACGTCCAGTGGTTAAGAGAGTCTGGGAAATCACAGGAAAATATTGCGCCTTTACACAGCGTAGTAGTCCAGATTTAGGGGGCTGCGTGGTCTCGAGGCATGGTGTCCCCCTTGAGTCCTAGAGGTTCCGGGTTCAATCCCTAAGGGCTGGGATTTTTTCACCTGCATTTGGACTTCTAGTAATTCCCCCGGTTTCTGGGTAGTGAGATGAGATGGCTATGTGCATCGTGTGCACATAAAAAATCCCTTGGCAGTTTTTAACCGAAAAGAGTAGCTTAACGGCGCTGCCCGGGCAAAATTTGGAGTTTAAACCTACTCAAAAGTATTTCAGGATCCTCGTCGGTGCTACAGAGCCTGTGCACTGTGCTGAAATTCTTCCGACTCAGACAAGTTAGAAGTAGTACGGAGCACTTATGGGTTACTACCCATGTGCCATGATGTTGATCCATTGTTAAAACTTCAAACTTCAGGCCTTCATCATAACCAGACATGAACTGAAAGATGAAGGAGTGGAAGAAAACTGGCTGCTAGAAGTGAGAATATATGTAAAGGTAGCATCATATGACCATGTTCACATGTGCCCTGACTTGACCACCCGGCTCTGGCAACCCCTGACAACTTGGGTAATGTTTCAGACATCCATGGAACCTGAACAACGTGGTGGAGAACCAGCAGTGCGTGCTCAAGTACCTGGGCCCGGTTTCTGGAGTCAGCATTCCTACCCTGCACATGAACATGCTGTTCTCAACATCCTGCTGGTCTGCCGATCCTCACAATCTGCCGTACATCCAGTACCTTCACACGGGTGCTGAGATCATCTGGTAGGTGTCTTGCTCTCTCTTGTTGTACCACACTAGGATATCACACAAGCGATAAACACTCGGTGACACAAAGTGCCACCATGTGGATGTGAATCACTCATGGAGAGGTCCCAGAAACCCCTTTCAGCCGTCACGTCATATTTATGGCCCTGCTATATTCAGGGCCCCGGGCACAAGCCAGAATGGGGCTTCAAATAATGAAAAATTGCATCCCACATAAGGATGACTTTTGAGGTATCTTACGTGAAACACACAAAAGGGATTATGAAATAAAAATTTTTTTTAGATGTTAAACATTAAAAATGGTTTTAAACTTACAACTTTCAGAAAGATTACATGTGTGAGTTCAGAGGCCCCAGTTTAATTTTAAGATTTGGGGGGGGGGGGGGGGGGAGAAGGGGTGTGTGAGGGTGGAAAAAAGACCCACGGCACCTCTTATATCATTGTTCGGGGGTGCCTTTATATGTCATATAGTGCTCGCAGTCTGTTCCTCCATTCCGTTCTGTCCTGTGCAGGGAACTCAATATATCATGGATGAAATCCAGTCAACACCTTTGGTTTTTCTCATCAACGTTTGTTTTCGAGTTTCTTTTTTTTTTTTTTTCAGTGTGTCCTTCCTTCCTCAAACCTCTTATTTCTTGTTTTAATGCCACTTTGGTCATTCTTTGTTCATACAGCATTATTGGATTAGGCTTTTACTACATTTTAAAAATTTCAATAATGTAAGTATAATTGGAGCACATTCCTATGTTTGTAATTAGAACTTTAATGTTGTGAAAAATGACTTCATTATTAATTATGAAATGACGTACGAATGAATAACTGTATGCAAGAAGTGGGCTGGAAGGGCAGAATGTTAGACAGGCCTGTGTGCCCAATTCTTAACCCTTTGAAAACTGTTCGTTTGTTCATGATCTGTCCAATGTAGTTCTATCTTCTGTGTCTTGTAATTGTTGTTACCAGTGGTTGTTTACCAGTTTACTGGACAGAAGTGATGTTATCAATGCCATGCGCTGTACTTGCTTTACCGAGGAGCATGCCAAGGGACATGTCTCCGTATTCCTGTCTAGACTGATGGACATGGGGAAGCAGCCTGGAGCTGCAAGAAATGAACATTTCACTAAGGGGACAAGATGTTTCATTAACCAACACAGAACAGGCATCATTAGTTGTTTTACACTTGGGGAGCTTTTGAGGAGGAGATTTGAGCACTTATGGATCTGTCCGGAGTGCTGTGATGATAATCCTTTCTAATCACTAATCACTAATCACTAATCACCAGTAGTTGCCCAGACATTTCTCTTATCACTTCCCCTTCTGAATTCATCCCGTATTTTTACCCTCTTGCAAGCACTTTGTAAACACTCCTGCTGTTGCTTTTCTGGATGATGATTACTTTAAATAATTTGGACACAAACTTTACATTGTTACATTGTTATAACTTCAAATTTACTAAAATTCCAACACATTTACTATAAATTACTTCAGATGGAATTTATAGTAAATTTGAAGTTACCCTGGGAAGTTACATAACTACAGTGAACTTGCGACAACTTGCGACTAGACAAACACGATGCATCAAAATAAACCATTCACATTTTAGTAGGATTCATTCAGTTGTTTGTGCTTCATTTTAATTTGATGTACCTGACGAGATACAGTGAAATGTGCCTGGCAATAAGTTGTGCAATATATTGTTTGCATCCGCATTATTTAGACTCAGTACGGGGAAAAAAATTGTTTTGGATGAATTCTTTGTGAGCCGAACCTTCTTAGACATAGCATTCATACGTGGTGACATCTTCTTTGTCTTGACCCACTTTCTCTAACTCTGCCATCCTGAGGTGACTACATCTAGCTACTTTCAGCTGTGACACAGTTCTATCAATGCTGATGTCTCAGTATGTCTGTAGTGACCTGTTCTTGGAAAGCGTGGTTAAATACTGTTGGTTCTGTGGGCACTTGCACAGTGTTAGGAGTTCCGTACAGTGTTAAGGAGGCCCTGACAGTGTTAAGGAGACCCTGACAGTGTTAAGGAGACCCTGACAGTGTTAAAAGACCGGACAGTATTAAGGAGACCGGACAGTATTAAGGAGGCCAGACAGTGTTAAGGAGACCCTGACAGTGTTAAGGAGGCCCTGACAGTGTTAAGGAGACCCTGACAGTGTTAAGAAGACCGGACAGTGTTAAGGAGGCCCTGACAGTGTTAAGGAGGCCCGGACAGTGTTAAGGAGACCCTGACAGTGTTAAGGAGGCCCTGACAGTGTTAAGGAGACTGGACAGTGTTAAGGAGACCGGACAGTGTTAAGGAGACCGGACAGTGTTAAGGAGACCGGACAGTGTTAAGGAAACCCTGACAGTGTTAAGGAGACCGGACAGTGTTAAGGAAACCCTGACAGTGTTAAGGAGACCGGACAGTGTTAAGGAAACCCTGACAGTGTTAAGGAGACCGGACTGTGTTAAGGAGACCCTGACAGTGTTAAGGAGGCCCTGACAGTGTTAAGGAAACCGGACTGTGTTAAGAAGACTGGACAGTATTAAGGAGGCCCTGACAGTGTTAAGGAAACCCTGACAGTGTTAAGGAGTCCCTGACAGTGTTAAGGAGGCCCTGACAGTGTTAAGGAGGCTTGGTCAGTGTTATGGAGGCTCGGGCAGTGTTAAGGAGGCTCGGACAGTGTTAAGGAGGCCCAGATGTGAAAATGTTAATTAAATATCAAGACTACTGCCAGACAATCCACCACAGAGCCGTGTAGACATATTGGAAACAGAGCCAGAGGCCGACCATGCAAGGATAGATGGATAGATGAAATATCCAAGGGCGAAAATGTCAGTATCTATGTAGCACATACCAAGGTTCGCTCCTGATACCTCTTCAAAACCTGACATTAAAAAAGCAGAACAGAATTAGAGAAAAATAGGTGGCGAGGTGATTTATGTCACAGGCGTGAGAGGAAGTTAAGTCCAACTTGATGTGTATAAGGAGATACTCCGTACGTCACTCGGGCGCCAGTCCTTTACTATCCTGGTTGTACGGAACCTCACGCAAGACCCCTACAGCACGTCCTCGTCGTGCGCCACGGATAATGTCTCAAATGAGCATTAACAGAGCTGTCAGGGGATCTCGGAGTTCGGCGGCTCCCAGAGGTGATGTGTCCTTGTGGCTCTCATCAGCCCGCCCCCAAACGCTTCGGTGAAAAATGTTACCAAAACTCATTAGGAACATGAGTAGGTCTGCCAAACGTACAGCCAAAATTACAACCCTTGGTTAAAAGACTGCAGAGTAAAGAGAAGATTGTTCACTGCACATCCTCTGTTAACCCTCAGTGTCGTCGTCACCGCGCTGAGGTACACCACAACAGCAACCATCCATAGGCTGGCCATCCTTGTACATCCTCGGTTAACCCTCAGTGTCATCGTCACCGCGCTGAGGTACACCACAACAGCAACCATCCATAGGCTGACCATTCATGTACATCCTCGGTTAACCCTCAGTGTCGTCGTCACCGCGCTGAGGTACAACACAACAGCAACCAACCATCGGATGGCTAAGCCTAATTGTCCGACAAAACTAGATCATACGGATCAAAATCTGACCATCAAAATGTGTATTGAACTGAAAAAGACCGAATGTCCACACCCAAAGACCCCACTCACCCGAGTGTTGGGACAAAACTGATAACGATATGCCTGATGCAGGATGTAAAATTCTGTCGGGCTAACGGCTCGTCAAAGAAATCTAACGTGCGAGAAAAAAAAAAGAATGTACCTATCTGTGTGGTCACCAAAGTCCAAAACCCACGGGCTGCTCCCCGGGAGGCCTGATACGGTTGTGAGGTTAAGCAGGCATGTGCGGGACGTGACGATTCCTTGGGTGAGCCCAGAACCAGAGCGCCATGTGCCGGCTCTGCATGCATGGAAGCCTCGTTGGATGGCGGGGAATGCCCATGATCTGCCCCTGCCTTCCCTTGAGGGCTAACTGTTCCACAGGGGGCTGCCCCAAAGGGGTACTCCGGGGGCAATACCTGCGGCGAAGGGGACAAAGTGGACACCACACAAATCAGGCAACGTCACGACCCACACAAACAATGGCCACAGTCAACCTAGAAATAGGCCTGACGTCTTCCTTCGAAGTCGGCGTACAGCTGCCCACGAGGCAGGGAAATGAAAAACGGTTGTACACGCAAAAAATCAGGTCCAGGTGAAAGCCAAAAGTCCAAGCGGACGATTAACCGGGACCTTCCACTGGAATTCACAGCCGGTGATCAATAAAAAAAAAAAAAAAAGAGAAAAATAGGTGTTTTGTTTACCCATTTGTTCTCTTATAGTGGATCCCAGGGTATGGTTTTGAAAAAGCCTGTAGATCTGATTACATATCCACACTTTTTGCTTCATTTTACTCTTGTTGGAGCAGTATTTGATATTTTAAATCTTTCATATTTTTAGGTATTGCATTCCAAAATCGCAGCATTCCCGATTCCGTGGTGCCATGACGGAGTTGGTGCCTTCTCTAGTCGCACACAAGCAAAGATGGCTGAAGGAGGATTGTGTCATGGTGAGTTAAATCTATTAGGAAAAAAAAAACTATGCCACCTCCGTCCCCATCTTCAGCAGCCAGCGCCGAGTCCAGTACTAGTGACGCCAGTAGCAGTCTGACAGTATGTCCGTCTTGCCTTTCCTCCGAGCGTCGAGTATCCACCAGATCCCTTCATCACTCCTCGCTGCATCACTCTTACCAGACTATGATAATCCATTTGCTGCTCTGAATTGCACTCGTGCTTCCATAATGCCTTAGTCACGTCTGCCTTATCCTGCATCAGTATATCATGATGAAAGCTCAGTTTCTTCCACGGTGTGACTCTTGCACCACTGCCCGAAGGCAACCAGGGACAGTACAGACACTTCAGCAGAAGCCTTAAAAACCATAACAAGGGGACAATATCCCTGGCTGCCATTCTCCACACAAGGAATAAATAACATATAGGAAGAGGAAAAGATGAGGCAGAACGAATCAGATTAATAAAGGAATGAAAATAGTAAAAATAATAACAATCAGAGTAATGACTGTAGTAATAGAAATAATAGTAACAGTAACGCCAGTGGTGATAATAATAGTAATAAGAATAAAGATTCAAATTATAAATAAATAATACCTTGAAATAATTTTTAAAAAAAAATAAAGTAAGAATAATAGTATTATTTAGATAAAGGTGTGCTAAACATTCAGTTAGTATGGTGTGTGTCTCGGGCATTATTTCATCCTAGGAGGGGCCCAGTCTTCTCCAGGTGGCCATACCCCCTCACGGATAGAGTTTCCAGTCAACACAACGGGGGGACAAGGTTCGTCATTGAATTATCCAGCACATTGTCAACTGTGAACATATTTTAACTACAGGGAAATGATTAATAATGCAATTGTACGAATATGAAATAAGGGTTAACAGCCTCTCAGAAACAGTACTACAGGGCTCAGTAGAGAGGAAGAGGCAGACCAAGAGTGACCTGAATACAGAACCTGACTGACTGGACAGGCCTTAGGCCGGCAACCATCTGACCGTCAAAGGTGGAGGGAGCTGATCAGACAGTCAGCAGCAAATAGTGACCCAACGACATGCATTGCTACAGGGCAGTAGTGATGATGCTGAACAGTGATGCCTGCTGGGCTCAGAACATCTAAACTATGAATAAGGCAGCTTCCCAAAGAGAAACATGGCGGAAACAATATCTCTATCACTGCCATAAAATCTTGCTCTGGGGATCGGCTACACCTTTCTTTTTTTTTTAAATATTTTTTTAACATTTTTTCGGGAATATCAGTTTTCTCTAAATCTTCTGTCTTTCCACAGAAAAACCAGCATCTTTTCTAATGTTAGTGGCAAACATGTCATCTCCAAGGCTTCTTGTACAAGCTAAAAGTAACTTTTTATTTTCAGGTCAATCCACAGCTGCTCCGGAAAAAAGGGCTGAGGATTGGTCGATGTATACAGAGCCCTCGCCAGTTTGTGGTTGTGTTCCCAGGTGCCTTCACATCAACGATTTCTTGTGGGTACAGCGTGGCCGAGAGCGTGCACTTTGCCACCAGCAAGTGGCTGCCGCTAGGAATGGAGGCTGCTCTGGTGAGCTTTACTGTTGTCTGTCATCATCATCATCATCATGTAGCAGGTCTTTTGCAGAACGTTTCTCTCATCACAGTCTGCCTGAAAGAAACTCGGTCTCTCGCCAGTTCTCCTGCCTCATGTACTTTCATACTCAAGGAGTCGCTTATATCCTGTGACCATCTTCGTGTTGGTCGGCCCCTGCCCCTCCTTCCTGGTACCATGCTTTTTGCTATTATTTTTTCCAATCCGTCGTGACGCTTGATATGACCAAAATATTTCAGCTTCCGAGTCAGGATGCTGTTAATTAGCCAATCTTTCTTGATGTTCAGATCTTTTAAAATGTCAGTATTTCTTCTCTTCTTTGTCCATGGTATTCTGAATATCTTTCATTTCAGCTCAAAAACCCATATTGTCTTTCTTAAGAACTGGGAGATAGTCCACAACTCGCATCCATATGTTGCTACAGAAAAGATGCATGCTTTAAAAATTCTAATTTTTGATTTCCTTGCTGGTGCTTAACCATAGACTTGTAATGCTGTTTACTCTGTCATTGTTCTCTTGTCCAGTTTATGTTTATGATCTGCCTAGCCTGGGAGCCTCACCATCAGATCTTTGAGTTTCATTAATCACAGTTCCAACCTCACGACAAAACAAGTCATCCCAAAGTTGCTCCATTTCTGTGTCAGCATAAAGCAGCTGTCATCAGTACCAGCACAGACAGTCCGCAACTAGAATTGCAGTTCATCAAAAGCAGAAAGCAGTAATGGCAACAAATTGGCGGTTCCACATGCAGTCTAGTAGAATAAAGTATGCACTGTTTTAGTATTGCACTGTTGGCACTTTTCCCATCTTCTCAGACGATAGAATTAAATTGTGCTTGGAAGAGGCATAGGACTCACAGCCCGGGGCGGTGGCAGGTAGGACTAGCAAGCTCCAAACACATAGTATTATATTTATCAAGTAGTATAGTATATATGTTACAGTATTTTCTGTCGTCACTGAACACATCATGGCACCATATATTTGCGGTCCATCTGTTTCAAATATTTGTTGCCTAACTTTTTGTGAGATATGTGCGTGCCAGCATGCGTGCGCGCCAGTGAAAATAATAATCCTTATCCGAACAATGTGTGAGGCCTCAGAGTGTACAGTGTGCACAGATTATGGTTTAGACATTGATGTGATGTTAAACCACACCACTCAAGAAGTGCTCATTGATCTGTAGAAGTATAGAACTTGCACTATATACCCAATATTATCTATATGTATACATATGTATAATATACTTTTATAGATCAGTATGTAAATAATGACCCTTTTCTTTTGTCTACATACTTAATGGTAATCTGTTTGTCTATTATCTGCCTAACTATAATAGTCTCTTTATATCTATCTCTGCCTGTAGCTGCATGTCAGTCTATTTACCCACCTTCTCCCATATACCTGCCTCTGTCTGTCTGTCTGTCTGTCCATCTGTGTCCATCAATTATCAGCTAATGAACAAATGAGCGAACTTTATTTGTAACCTTTTGAAAACAAAGTTTCTGGTTCTCTGTCAGTTTGTTTGTCTGCCCCCCCCCCTCTTTGTCTGTCTTCTCTCTCTCTCTCTCTCTCCTCTCTCTCTCTCTCTCTCTCTCTCTCTCTCTCTCTCTCTCTCTCTCTCTCTCTCTCTCTCTCTCTCTCTCTCTCTCTGTGTGTGTGTGTGTCTGTGTGTCTCTGTGTGTGTGTGTGTGTGTGTGTGTGTGTGTGTGTGTGTGTGTGTGTGTGTGTGTGTGTGTGTGTGTGTGTGTGTGTGTGTGTGTGTGTGTGTGTGTGTGTGTGTGTGTGTGTGTGTGTGTGTGTGTGTGTGTGTGTGTGTGTGTGTGTGTGTGTGTGTGTGTGTGTGTGTGTGTGTGTGTGTGTGTGTGTGTGTGTGTGTGTGTGTGTGTGTGTGTGTGTGTGTGTGTGTGTGTGTGTGTGTGTGTGTGTGTGTGTGTGTGTGTGTGTGTGTGTGTGTGTGTGTGTGTGTGTGTGTGTGTGTGTGTGTGTGTGTGTGTGTGTGTGTGTGTGTGTGTGTGTGTGTGTGTGTGTGTGTGTGTGTGTGTGTGTGTGTGTGTGTGTGTGTGTGTGTGTGTGTGGTGTGTGTGTGTGTGTGTGTGTGTGTGTGTGTGTGTGTGTGTGTGTGTGTGTGTGTGTGTGTGTGTGTGTGTGTGTGTGTGTGTGTGTGTGTGTGTGTGTGTGTGTGTGTGTGTGTGTGTGTGTGTGTGTGTGTGTGTGTGTGTGTGTGTGTGTGTGTGTGTGTGTGTGTGTGTGTGTGTGTGTGTGTGTGTGTGTGTGTGTGTGTGTGTGTGTGTGTGTGTGTGTGTGTGTGTGTGTGTGTGTGTGTGTGTGTGTGTGTGTGTGTGTGTGTGTGTGTGTGTGTGTGTGTGTGTGTGTGTGTGTGTGTGTGTGTGTGTGTGTGTGTGTGTGTGTGTGTGTGTGTGTGTGTTTTTGTTTGTTTGTTTGTTTGTTTGTTTTTACCTACCTAGTAATGCCCTAAAGTCTGTCTATAAATCAAGCAGTACTTATCTCTATCCCAGACATTGAGTAAAAGTGGGGAGAAAGAACTGTTCTCCATGAGTGCCTTGTTGTGCAGTCTAGCGCAGGATGAGAATGTTGATGCAGCGACGTTGACTGAAGCCTTGCCTTTGTTGTCTGCTATTGTGTGAGTATTCAGTTGCAGGCAGCTTTATTATTGTTGTTGTCTTTGATGGTGATCAGAGCTTGCTTGCTGAGACAGTGATGCACCTGCTGAGACAATTTTCCAACTGCCGAGACAGTATTCCACCTGCCGAGACAGTATTCCACCTGCCGAGACAGTATTCCACCTGCCGAGGCAGTGATCCACTTTCTGAGACAGTGATTCACCTGCCGAGGCAGTGATCCACTTTCTGAGACAGTGATCCACCTGCCGAGGCAGTGATCCACTTTCTGAGACAGTGATCCACTTTCTGAGACAGTGATCCACTTTCTGAGGCAGTGATCCACTTTCTGAGTCAGTGATCTACTTTCTGAGACAGTGATCCACTTTCTGAGACAGTGATCCACTTTCTGAGACAGTGATCCACTTTCTGAAAGAGTGATCCACTTTCTGAGACAGTGATCCACTTTCTGAGACAGTGATCCACCTGCCGAGACAGTTGATCTGAGTTCAGTCCCCAGAAGTGGCAGAAGGATTTTGCTGACTAGTATGTCTTCTGGTTGGGACATACAGAGAGAATGGTGGATAACAGAGAGATAAAAACTGCATACACTGAAGAGATGCATTTCCTTCAGAGTCGGAGTGCATCTGCTGGAGAGGCAGAAAACTTAAAAGTCAACAACCAGATTTATAAAACGGATGTACATCCAAAACTCATCAAGTTTTGTACGGCTGTTAGGCAGCTTACACTTTTGGACACTCTTATTTTCAGTTTTTTTTTTTTTTTTTTTTTCAGTTTTATGCTTTCATTTTATGTTGATGTAACTCTGTAGTAACTCACCTGACGAGATACAGCGAAATATGCCTGGCAATAAATTGTGCAATGTATTGGTTGTGTCTGCAATTTAAATTCATTGCGGGAAAACATTGTTTGAATTCTTATTTTCATTGGCCTGCCATGGAGCCCATGCTTTTTGATCTTATCGTGATCAAAGACAGGAAAAGCCAGCTGGATCAGTTTGAAAAAAAAAATCAATAAGACAGGGAAAGGTTCTCACCAACATTAAAGATCAAATGGACAGATGGGCTGAATAGTTTCAAGTACCACTGAGGAGACTGACCCCAGAGGTCCCCCCCCCCCCCCACCTCCAGATATCCAGCTCTGAGAAATGGAACTGGGTACCAACTGTGAGATACCTTTAATGAAGAAATTAGGAAAGCTATCAATCTACTGAAGAAGGGGAAGACTGCTGCAGGTCCAAATGGTATCCCAGCAGAAGTTATTAAGGCCAGTAAAAACATTTTTTTACTGAACTGCTACACAAATGATTTAGTAAAGTCTGGGAGAGCAAATAATTAACAGTAGACTGGAGAGAATGATTTTTGTGTGAAACTGCCTCAGAAAAAAAAGGTGATCTACAGGAGTGTAATAACTATAGACGAATCATGTTGCTCTCAGTTCGTGAGAGAAACATAAAGTAGGATTATTTCAGAAAGAAAAAATGAATAATCAGTACACACATTGAAGAATTAAATGGAATACATTCCCCAGTACCTTAAAAATTATGTATCAGATAAATCATGCGCTGACCTCCATCAGTGAGGCTTATGGGAAAATTTGATATTAACCTGGCTTGATAAAAGTATTCTGGTTTGCAATTTTTTAGTTACTATGTTCATATCTGTACCTCCTGAACACTGCACAGCTTCAGATAGAACCAGTGGCATTTTGCAGGGCTTTTCAAGAACAGACAAAAGTGGTGAGGTGTTGGAGAATAGGGTTAGGGTTAGGATTAGGGCAAATGTTAGGGTTAGGGCTAGAGACAGGGTTACGTTAGGGGTTAGATCTTAGGTTAGGGCTAGAGTTAGGGTAGATCTAGGGTTACATTTGGGGTTACTGTTAGATCTTAGGTTAGAGCTAGAGTTAGGGTAGATCTAGGGTTACGTTTGGGGTTTCAGTTAGATTTTAGGTTAAGGCTAAAGTTAGTATAGATCTAGAGTTATGTTTAGGGTTTCAGTTAGATCTTAGGTTAGGGCTAGAGTTAGTGTAGATCTAGAGTTATGTTTAGGGTTTCAGTTAGATCTTAGGTTAGAGCTAGTGTGAGTGTAGATCTAGAGTTATGTTTAGGGCTTCAGTTAGATCTTAGGTTAGGGCTAGAGTTAGTGTAGATCTAGAGTTATGTTTAGGGTTTCAGTTAGATCTTAGGTTAGAGCTAGTGTGAGTGTAGATCTAGAGTTATGTTTAGGGTTTCAGTTAGATCTTAGGTTAGGGCTAGAGTGAGTGTCGATCTAGAGTTATGTTTAGGGTTTCAGTTAGATCTTAGGTTAGGGCTACAGTGAGTGTCGATCTAGAGTTATGTTTAGGGTTTCAGTTAGATCTTAGGTTAGGGCTAGAGTGAGTGTCGATCTAGAGTTATGTTTAGGGTTTCAGTTAGATCTTAGGTTAGGGTTAGAGTTAGTGTAGATCAAGAGTTATGTTTAGGGTTTCAGTTAGATCTTAGGTTAGGGCTGGGTGACAACAACAAAAAAGTAAACAGGCCAGTTGGTCAGTTAGTTGTTGGTAGTTGTGCTAAGAGCCTGTTTGGCTGGTTACAAGAAGATTTATCTTTTAAACTATTAAATTGGCTTCATAAGCTGATTTGTCATATTTTTTTCAATGCTCAGCTCACGAGAGTTGGAACTGCGGACCCAACTTCATGCGGCTGGCATTCGTGGTGAAAAACGGGCAGTTTTCACGGAATCTCCAGTCCCTGGCAATTTGGCGCACAAGAAACGATTGCGAGCTGTCGATGATGAAAAAGTTTGCGACGTTTGTGACAAGATTTGCTACTTATCAATGGTAAGCGGTTGTGATAATTGTTGACGAAATTGTTGCTGAAGGTGATAGTCAGGACAAAGTACTTACTACTTTGTTGTCTACATGCAGCTAGCCTGGCTGGTTCTGCACCGGTGCACTGTGTTGTGACTGTGCAGGGCAAGCTAGATTTAGTCAGGTGGTTTTGCACCGCTGCACTGTGTTGTGACTGTCTAGGGCAAGCTAGATTTAGTCAGGTGGTTCTGCACCACTGCACTGTGTTGTGACTGTGCAAGGCAAGCTAGATTTAGTCAGGTGGTTCTGCACCGCTGCACTGTGTTGTGACTGTGCAGGGCAAGCTAGATTTAGTCAGGTGGTTCTGCACCGGTGCACTGTGTTGTGACTGTGCAGGGCAAGCTAGATTTAGTCAGGTGGTTCTGCACCGCTGCACTGTGTTGTGACTGTGCAGGGCAAGCTAGATTTAGTCAGGTGGTTCTGCACCGGTGCACTGTGTTGTGACTGTGCAGGGCAAGCTAGATTTAGTCAGGTGGTTCTGCACCGCTGCACTGTGTTGTGACTGTGCAAGGCAAGCTAGATTTAGTCAGGTGGTTCTGCACCGGTGCACTGTGTTGTGACTGTGCAGGGCAAGCTAGATTTAGTCAGGTGGTTCTGCACCGCTGCACTGTGTTGTGACTGTGCAGGGCAAGCTAGATTTAGTCAGGTGGTTCTGCACCGCTGCACTGTGTTGTGACTGTGTAGGGCAAGCTAGATTTAGTCAGGTGGTTCTGCACCGCTGCACTGTGTTGTGACTGTGTAGGGCAAGCTAGATTTAGTCAGGTGGTTCTGCACCACTGCACTGTGTTGTGACTGTGCAGGGAAAGCTAGATTTAGTCAGGTGGTTCTGCACCGCTGCACTGTGTTGTGACTGTGTAGGGCAAGCTAGATTTAGTCAGGTGGTTCTGCACCCTGCACTGTGTTGTGACTGTGCAGGGCAAGCTAGATTTAGTCAGGGACCTTCCGAGCAAGTCAGGAGAACGGTATAAAGAAGCCTTTTCCACGCCCGCACACATTTTTTGGTATACATAGCTAGATCTATATTTGATAGAAATGCTGAAAATAACACAAATTGACTAGAAAGCTCAATGGTAGGAATGGAAAATACGCAGGCGAACACAACTGAATGTTTCGACCCTATTTATATCATTTCTATATTTTATAGACCAGTCGGCACTCGGTGAGTGATGTATGGTCACCATCATATCTGCCACCTTTACTTCCCATGACTTTTACGTGGTACCCACTTAAGGCTGGGGTGACCTGGGAACCAAGGTCATTTTTGGAAAAAAACAGGTCAGGTTCCGTTTGAATTTGAACCCATGATTTTTGGATCCGCAGGTGAACGAAGGAACAAACTTTATTTTCAAAGGGTCACAAATTGGGCATGCAGGCCTGTATTCCATCCGACCCTTTCAAACACCTATCTGAGCAACTGCCCGCTACAACATGGCGTCTCCCAAGTAAACAATGTGGGAACACAAATAATCATCACACTCTGGAGAAGTTGGTGCATCGGCAAGTGATTTCTCAACCAGTAACTTAGCTGACACTCTGGAGAAATTGTTCATCGGCAAGTGATTTCTCAACCAGTAACTTGGCTGACACTCTGGAGAAATTGTTCATCGGCAAGTGATTTCTCAACCAGTAACTTGGCTGACACTCTGGAGAAATTGTTCATCGGCAAGTGATTTCTCAACCAGTAACTTGGCTGACACTCTGGAGAAATTGTTCATCGGCAAGTGATTTCTCAACCAGTAACTTGGCTGACACTCAATGGAAAAGCAAGAAGATAGACATAACAATCGAACCACCACTGGTGCCATTGGAGTTGAAACTGCCCTGGTTGTTGAAGAAGGTGAGGGAGCACTCTTTGGGAATGCTTTGAGTTCTGTGATATCAGTTCCTCACATAACTTGATTCAGACAGCATGCTGAGGAAGATGAGCACAAGCATGCTTCGTGCATAGTGGCATGCTTTGCTGCAGAGGACAAGGATGTAGAGCATTGTCTGGATCTTTTCTCAGGGTTATGCAAGTGTGTTGGGAAATGAACAGGCAGACAGACTGGCAAGCTTGCACAGCTTGGTGGAATATTGATGCATGGTAAGGCAGATGTGGTTAAGGCCTTATGAGAGCACGTTTACAATTTGGAACATAAAATGGTCATCACAATCTGGTGAGAGTGATGCAGAGAGGAGATCTAGCTCATAGGAAAGGCTAGACGGACATATAATCAGATTGCTACTGGCACCACTGGTATTGAAAATCTGTGTTGGCTGCTGAAGATAGGGATGGAGCGCTTATGGCCTGATTGCTGTGATGCCGATTCTTGAATCAACTTCACTTGATGAAGTTGTATGGCTTCTTTATTACATATGTAAAGAAACGCTGGCACAGGAAAGGCAGTAAATATAGCTGAGTCAATCAGATATCAAAGAGAGAGAACAACAGTCACCTTGGGGGAAATAAGACAAATGGTAGGCACTGTAATGGTTATTGTTTTCATGGACATCACAGAATCAGATGGTGTGGTCAGAATAGAACAGAATGAGACCTCAGAGAGTGCGGTATAAGAACAGCAGGCTGCTGGTCGAGAGGCTGACCAAGACAGAGATCGGTGGAGGGAATAAAAGACACTTCAGAAACACAACATGACATTAACACAATCTACACAAATAGGAAAAGACAGGAAACTACATCTAACTCCTCCCTGTGACATTTTTCAGCATAAGCAGTCGAAGAAAAGAAGATAGAAGAAGAAGTTTTCACCTCTAAAATGTCGATTGCCTTCAGTGGATCTCTAGTCGACTTTCTCTCTCACCCCGCCTGTATCGACAGATGTTATTCTCTTGCTTATATCATTAGGGGGAAGGGGGGGTGGGAGGGTTCTTCAAAGGCATACAGCCTATTTGAAGGTTTGAACAAAAGATCACCATCATGGCACACGAGAAGTAACCCATAAGTGCTCCGTTCTTCTTCTACCTCAAGTCTGAGTCCGAAGAAGCTCAGCACAGTGCACAGGCTCCTAAAATACTTTGGGTAGATTTTTAACTCCAAATTTTTACCTGGGCAGCGCCGTTAGGCTACTTTTTGATTTCCAACTGCCAAGGGACTGTTTACGTGCGCAACAATACACACGGGCGTCCGATCTCACTACCCAGAGACCAGGGGAATTACTAGAAGTCCAAGTCCACGTGAAAAAATCCCAGCCCTTACCAGGGATTGAACCCGGAACCCCTAGCACTCAAGGCGGACACCATGCCTCAAGACCACGCAGTCCCCACAGCCCATTAAATAACATGAACCCCCATCCCACAGAAAAATAAAAATGCCCCATGGAATCACACACTAAAAATATGAGAGAGTTTTAACTAAGTAGCAATTACATAGAACAGCATAGTTGAGTTTTATGGAAACGGTTTTGGCCAGTTTTAGCAAGCGTTTAGTCAACATAGTCATAATTCTGAAGGCACAATCCTGCAACTAGTATGTGATTACTTACGCAGGTGCTAAATGAACAGAAGGAACAAGTACTTTGTCTGGAGCATGGGGTCCGACATGTACAAAGAAGAAAGCATCTGAAATCCACTCGCTTGTTTCTCCGACATAACCAGGTGAGGCTAGATTTCTCAACCTTTCCTGTCAGTTCAGAAACATTTATTATATAACATCATTATCATTATGATCATCCTATAATGTCTTGTACTCACAAAGGGCTCACAGTTTATTCTTTCACTCTGTTCTGTCCTGTGAAATGATTCGTCCCGCACCTTTGGCCTCTTTTATCAGCATCCACCTTAGGGTTTCTCTTGGATGTCCTTGCCTTCTCTATTCATCAGTTTCCCATTTCAGTGCCTGTTTGGTGGTTTGTTTGTCTCTTCTCAGAAAGTGTCCACTGTAGCGCCATCTTGTCCGTCTTATAACTGGTGATACTCATGGTGGCCCGGATATTTCTCTTATTTCTTCACTCCTTTTGAATTCATCCCATCTTATGTTCATCATTTACCTCAGGTATTTGTTTTCAAATGCATTTAACCTCTTTTTATTTTCTAATTTCTTGAATTCATCTCATTTAACCATCATCAATTTCTTTAACAAGTAGAATTGATATTTAGAAATAAAATTTAGAAATGATAGTTCTAATCAGGTTGAGCAGCCCACAATGAGAGTGACTTCCCTTCCCATTGATGTCTCGATCTAGTGTAGCGCTCGCACTATGTCACAGGGGTGCATCCTAGGTCGCACGACTGTCTGCAGTGTATAATAGAGGCTGCATACATTGAAGCTGTGGGGTAGGGGGGGGGGGATTGGGGTTAGGCCCAGTTCTACATTTTTTAGGACTGTTAAAAGCTCATAGCATAGAAAACGCGATATCGCCGGCCGCTGACAACAAGGAGTAAAATACAACTCGCTACACCTGAAACCCCTGTGACATAGTACAGGCCCTACACCAGATCAAGGCATCAATGGGAAGGGAAGTCACTCTCATTGTGGGTCGCTTAGTGCCTAATATACCTGAACCAAATATAGACATGAAAATAGGAAAAGACACTCAAACTTTTTATCACATTGCAGCCGGCACCATCACTTTTGGAACTGATTAGCTCGTGAGGAAGGAGACAGACCACACGTGGGAATGCTCTGGGTGCAATCATGTCTTCTTTTCTTGTGATCACTTCCCTGATTTCACTGACAGATGACTTCTTGTGATGACCTTTTCTTCTGTTGAGTTCCGCTTTACTTCCATTCGGATATGATCGGCAAAGCCAAAAGCGAGAGACACATTAGGCATACAAAAAGACTTATCAGTCAACAAAGAACTGGCACTGTTAGTCACAGGACGCTGGGGTTCATATTGAGGGAAGGATCTGAACACCTATTAACATGTCCGGAGTGCATGGAACATGTACCAACTAACTAAACTAAACTAACTAACTAACTAAACTAACTAACTAAACTAACTAACTTAACTTAACTTAACTCAACTTAACTTAACTTAACTTAACTTAACTTAACTTAACTTAACTTAACTTAACTTAACTTAACTTAACTTAACTTAACTTAACTTAACTTAACTTAACTTAACTTAACTTAACTAACTAACAGATATGAGAAAACAGATATGAGAATGGTGTAGACTCAGTTGGTCAGTGTTCCCTTCTTAATGGGCTGTACAAGGGACAGTCTTGCTGGACATGTTCTGTAGTTTGTGAAAACACAGCCCACAAGGGCACAATGGTGAACTACTAAGATGAAACCTGTGCAGACGCTTGTTAAGTTTCTTATGCCCTGTCCTAAGGCAATGAATGATGACCTGCCCATTCTTTTATTTATTTTCTGTTATCCTGATAACACTGTGAGAACATGTCATTGATGTGTCCTTGTTTGTGTCATTGATGTGTCCATGTTTGTGTCATTGATGTGTCCATGTTTGTGTCATTGATGTGTCCATGTTTGTGTCATTGATGTGTCCATGTTTGTGTCATTGATGTGTCCATGTTTGTGTCATTGATGTGTCCATGTTTGTGTGCCCTACAGACTGAGCTGGAGGCCATGATTAAAGAGTGCCGTGAGCGGTTGACACGACTCACCAACTCACAGGACCACACATCCACATCTCAGGAAAACAAAATCAGGAATAATTTAAAATGAAATGTGTTTTCCTTTCCATTTTCATTTTCCCTTTCACTTCCCCTTCCCTTGTTTTTCCCTTTCATTTCCCTTTCCCTTGTTTTATCCTTTCATTTCCCCTTCCCTTGTTTTATCCTTTCATTTCCCTTTCCCTTGTTTTATCCTTTCATTTCCCTTTCCCTTGTTTTATCCTTTCATTTCCCCTTCCCTTGTTTTATCCTTTTATTTCCCTTTCCCTTGTTTTATCCTTCCATTTCCCCTTCCCTTGTTTTATCCGTTCATTTCCCTTTCCCTTGTTTTATCCTTTCATTTTCCCTTCCCTTGTTTTATCCTTTCATTTCCCCTTCCCTTGTTTTATCCTTTCATTTCCCTTTCCCTTGTTTTATCCTTTTATTTCCCGTTCCCTTGTTTTATCCTTTCATTTCCCTTTCCCTTGTTTTATCCTTTCATTTCCCCTTCCCTTGTTTTATCCTTTCATTTCCCTTTCCCTTGTTTTATCCTTTCATTTCCCCTTCCCTTGTTTTATCCTTTCATTTCCCTTTCCCTTGTTTTATCCTTTCATTTCCCCTTCCCTTGTTTTATCCTTTCATTTCCCTTTCCCTTGTTTTATCCTTTCATTTCCCCTTCCCTTGTTTTATCCTTTCATTTCCCTTTCCCTTGTTTTATCCTTTCATTTCCCCTTCCCTTGTTTTATCCTTTCATTTCCCTTTCCCTTGTTTTATCCTTTCATTTCCCCTTCCCTTGTTTTTCCCTTTAATTTCCCCTTCCCTTGTTTTTTTCATTTCTCCTTCCTTTGTTTTTTTCCTGTTATTTCCTCTTCCCATTTTTCCCTTTCATTTCCCCTTCCCTTGTTTTATCCTTTTATTCCTCCTTCCCTTGTTTTTTCTTTCATTCTCCCCCTTTAGTTGTTTTTTCTTTTCATTTCTCCTTCCCTTGTTTATTTTCAGCTCTCCTCTTCCTTGTCTTTTACCAATTTTTTCTTTTGAATTCACTCTTAAAATGCCGATTGGCACATTGTATTGTGGTTTACCACTAGGCTGCGATATCTGAGCCTTTGAGCTCAACATTTCTGATTTCAGCAAACCCCTAGTCAGGCAGCCCTTTATGACATGCTTGCCAGGGTCTATTCTTTTTTGTTCCCTTCCAAAATTAGGCCCAGGACCCCACTCTAGGCTTTGACCTATTTGAGTTGTTGACCCATTTGAGTTGTTAACTTATTTGAGTTGTTAACTTATTTGAGTTGTTAACTTATTTGAGTTGTTAACTTATTTGAGTTGTTAACTTATTTGAGTTGTTAACTTATTTGAGTTGTTAACTTATTTGAGTTGTTAACTTATTTGAGTTGTTAACTTATTTGAGTTGTTAACTTATTTGAGTTGTTAACTTATTTGAGTTGTTAACTCAACTGCTTCAGTATCAGGGATTTTTACTATGTGTACGTTATTGGAATAACAACTCTGCGCTTGCTGCTGAAGTACACAAGACAGTAGGTTGTGGCTAGACATGTCTACCAACGCCACACGGCATGGAGGGTCTTCTGTGTCAGAGTTGATTGAAAGTACACAAGACAGTAGGTTGTGGCTAGACATGACTACCAACGCCACACGGCATGGAGGGTCTTCTGTGTCAGATTTAATTGAAAGTACACAAGACAGTAGGTTGTGGCTAGACATGACTACCAACACCACACGGCATAGAGGGTCTTCTGTGTCAGAGTTGATTGAAAGTACCTGAGACAGAAGGTTGTGGATAGACATGACTACCAACGCCACACGGCATGGAGGGTCTTCTGTGTCAGAGTTGATTGAAAGTACCCGAGACAGATGGTTGTGGATAGATATGACTATCAACGCCACACACTTTAAGAAGAAAGAAATGGAAGCCAAGGTCACTTTTGGCACAGATCTGACCCGATGCAGATTTGAACTCCAAGACCTTCGGGCGAACGGGGTATCAGGTTTTAATATACACCAAGTTTTTTATAGAACCCCCTTCCCCCTTTTTTTTTTCTAACTGGTCTTCATAATTTAGTCTTTAGTCTTGAAAAATGTGTGTTGTCCATCAACATGATGATGATGACCACTCTTTTTCATCAAGTATGAGTACGAAGATAATGAAGATGAAAGAGTGACTTGTATTAAAGTGAGGAAGAGTTGCGCAGTGTCGTCGACCTCACTCTCTCGCCTAAGTCATATCTGGGTCCAGTGGCAAGACAGAGTCAGGACGACTGGAGATATGTCTAGGTGCAGTGGATGACCAGGGCGTTCTACGTGCCTCGCCATGCTCTATGCGCTCCACAGAGCTTTGCTAGTATCGCCGTCTTGCCCGTTGAATCAAATATGGTTTCCTCCGCGCAATCTGCCGACAGTAGTAGTCTTGAAAAAAAATGTAGGTGACAAGTACCTCTTTCACCATTTTCTTATTTTAAATGTATGTTATTATCATTCCCCCCCCCCCCCTTTATACGTTGCCTTCATGAAGTTAACGATTGTATGTATTGCATCCTATAGTGCCTCATCGGTGTCCAAGGAGATTCTCTGTCAGTGCTGTCAAAGAGAGATTCTCTGTCAGTGCTGTCAAAGAGAGATTCTCTGTCAGTGCTGTCAAAGAGCAATTTTCTGTCAGTGCTGTCAAAGAGAGATTCTCTGTCAGTGCTGTCAAAGAGAGATTCTCTGTCAGTGCTTTAAAGGATTTTGTTTTTCTCCCCATAACAGCCCATATTTTTTATCAAGGATTCAAACCCTGGCTTCCTGCATGAGAGACCAATGTTCCTAAGCGCTCACCCAGCCACTCCTCACTTTACAACAAGTGAGAAACAAAAATTATTAACCACAAGAAAGACGAGAACAGATAAATCAGAATTTATCGATGTAATCGTCTGTAAAGGAACTTTTCGACGCCAAAAGGCATATTGGTATTGGACATAACGCTAGACCTATCGGCACTTAGCAGGTATTAACATCACTTCAGCCATTTTTACTTCCCAGGACTTTCTTCTTCTGCCTTTCTCGCCCCCAATGGAGCATAGACCCTCAACCAACTCACACCAGGTCGTTCTATCCTTGCTATCATGTGCAGCTCTCACATTGTCCTCATCTGTTTAACTTCACTCTCTTGCTTCCTTCTCCGTGTGTTGTCCTTGCTCCCATCTCCGTGTGTTGTCCTTGCTCCCATCTCCGTGTGTTGTCCTTGCTCCCTTCTCCATGTGTTGTCCTTGCTCCCTTCTCCGTGTGTTGTCCTGCTCCCATCTCCGTGTGTTGTCCTTGCTCCCATCTCCGTGTGTTGTCCTTGCTCCCTTCTTCGTGTGTTGTCCTTGCTCCCTTCTCCGTGTGTTGTCCTTGCTCCCTTCTCCGTGTGTTGTCCTTGCTCCCTTCTCCGTGTGTTGTCCTTGCTCCCTTCTCCGTGTGTTGTCCTTGCTCCCTTCTCCGTGTGTTGTCCTTGCTCCCTTCTCCGTGTGTTGTCCTTGCTCCCTTCTCCGTGTGTTGTCTTTGCTCCCTTCTCCGTGTGTTGTCCTTGCTCCCTTCTCTGTGTGTTGTCCTTGCTCCCTTCTCCGTGTGTTGTCCTTGCTCCCTTCTCCGTGTGTTGTCCTTGCTCCCTTCTCCGTGTGTTGTCCTTGCTCCCTTCTCCGTGTGTTGTCCTTGCTTCCTTCTCCGTGTGTTGTCCTTGCTCCCATCTCCGTGTGTTGTCCTTGCTTCCTTCTCCGTGTGTTGTCCTTGCTTCCTTCTCCGTGTGTTGTCCTTGCTCCCTTCTCCGTGTTTTGTCCTTGCTCCCTTCTCCGTGTGTTGTCCTTGCTCCCTTCTCCGTGTGTTTTCCTTGCTCCCATCTCCGTGTGTTGTCCTTGCTCCCTTCTCCGTGTGTTGTCCTTGCTCCCATCTCCGTGTGTTGTCCTTGCTCCCTTCTCCGTGTGTTGTCCTTGCTCCCTTCTCTGTGTGTTGTCCTTGCTCCCTTCTCCGTGTGTTGTCCTTGCTCCCTTCTCCGTGTGTTGTCCTTGCTCCCTTCTCCGTGTGTTGTCCTTGCTCCCTTCTCCGTGTGTTGTCCTTGCTCCCTTCTCCGTGTGTTGTCCTTGCTCCCTTCTCCGTGTGTTGTCCTTGCTCCCTTCTCCGTGTGTTTGTCCTTGCTCCCTTCTCCGTGTGTTGTCCTTGCTCCCTTCTCCGTGTGTTGTCCTTGCTCCCTTCTCCGTGTGTTGTCCTTGCTCCCTTCTCCGTGTGTTGTCCTTGCTCCCTTCTCCGTGTGTTGTCGTTCCGAGGACTTTACCTAATGCTGGAAGCCAAAGCCATTAAAAAAAGATTTAAAAAAAGGCTTGAGTCAAATTGAACCCATGACCCTTGTGCGGTTTTCGTTGGCACAGGAATGGAGCAACTGTGAGGCGTCTCATTTGCCATGAAGTTGGAGCTGTTGAGATTAACTGATTACCTAATGGCTTATAGAAGTAAAAAAAAAAACTTTTTTTTTTTTTTTTACAGTATTGACGAGTCAGACAAACATAATTTGACTCATTTTTGTAGACTCGTTGACACTTAGTGGGTGATATATGAGTGACGCAATGACAACAATGTGGCAGTGAATGTTCAGTAAGCAAATGAATTCTTGTTTTGTTATTGTTTGTGTGATGGTGGAAAAAAAAATTAACATATATATTATTACGTTGAAAATATTTACTGCACATTAAACTATTTCTAGTTGCTCATGATTTTGTTGATTTGTATTTCTTTGTTTGTGGAGAGTTGTGTTTCAGTCAAGAACTGATATTACAGCACCTGGGACCTTCCCATATTCTCTCCGTCCTCATCTTCAGCAGTCAGCAAAGAATTCCAGTCTTGAAGGTACTAGTAGCAGTTTGATTAAATGTCTGTCTGACCTTTCCTATGTGTGTAGAGTGTCTACCAGATCCTCTGTGTGTGTGTAGAGTGTCTACCAGATCTTCTGTGTGTGTGTGTAGAGTGTCTACCAGATCCTCTGTGTGTGTGTAGAGTGTCTACCGGATCCTCTGTGTGTGTGTAGAGTGTCTACCCGATCCTCTG